TTTTTACGGCAATCTTAAATCATCGTTAACAACAATAAAATATTAGAAAAGTGAATTTAAACGTAGTCACATACGAGTGCTTTTGATGAAGAGCGTCCGGGTCGTTCAAAAAAAGTCACAACAGAAAAAAACATTGATAAAATCCATCAAATTGTGTTAGATGATCCAAAAATTAAATTGCGTGAGATAGCAGATAGCAGAGATAAACATGTTTTGAATATTTTACTTGAATATTTGGGTGTGAAAAAGCTTTCGGCAGGATGGGTGCCGCATTTGCTCACAATTGACCAAAACCGCCAACCACTTCGTCATTCAACACATTATTTGGAAATGTTTATGAACTATATAGGTGACTGTGACAATCTAGCGTCGAGTAGTGACAATTGATGAATGGATCCATTACTTCACAGCTGAGGGAAAACAACAAGCCCGGGGTAGAAAGAATGGGTAGAATCTGGGGATAATGCTCCTACGAACAATAATATTCGGCTGGAAACATTTTGGCTTCCATATTTTGAGATTCAAGTAGAATAGTTTGCATGGACTATTTGTACTACTACTACTATTACATATAATTGGATGGATTGAATGAGGAAATCAAGAAAAAGCGACCACATTTGTCGAACAAAAAAAAATTGGTTTTGCAAGATAATACACTCGTTCAATGAAACTCCGTCAATGAAATTCATGGCAAAATGAAACGAATTATAGTACGAATTGCTTTCTCACCCACCGTATTCTCCAGATCTGGTTTCCAGTGACTATTACCTGTGTTCAAACTTGCAAGATGGCTGCAGGGAAAGAGAGTTGCATCAAATGATTAAGTGGAATGAGAAACTGAAGTATATTTTTGAGGACTTGATATGTCCTTTAACGTCAGATGACACCTGACAACAACCAGTGTTACCAAGGCTCAAAATATAAATAGTGAACCACGTAGTGTACAACTCAGTTCTTTTCTGTTGTAGTGAACAACAGTAACAAAAAATACCATATAGGATGCAAAATCGATCAAAATATCTAGAAATCCAATTGGAATGAAATGATGAGAAGGCATTTAATATCTAATAAAAGTCGTTCGTAAATAGTATCACTACCAGTAAACATTATATGAACCATTTATATTCTATAACATCGTTAAGTTGTGCAAAATAAGTAGAGTATAACGCACCTGCATCTCCGGATGATAACTGTTTAAAAAAATACAAACCATATCTGATTCTAGGCAGGTAATGAGACCTAAACTACTTTATGGTAATGTTTTATGTGGCAATGCTGCCAAACTTATCAAAAAATTGTTCTGAGAGGTATGCTAAAAACTTCATGGCATATCAGAAATGAAGATATACATAAAAGTATATTGCAGACAGAGCTCTGAATTTGTTTGATCTCTTAAATCAAATGCAAAATATATTCGATAAATTTTGGTAACAGTGCAAATGTCAGACTTTACGCGTTTAAAAAGAAATTATGAGTGTTTTTATGAAATATTACTCAAATCCAAATATTAGTAATACGAAATTGACAATTGTGCTTTGACTCACCGCACTCACATGTACTGGTGGTCATGACCAGGAAAAATATAAAGTTGTTGTGATCACTCGTAATATAATTGTCGGCATAACATGGTTTTAAGTATTTAAGAGCTGGACGTCGGTGTATGCTGAAGATATCATTGTAATATATTATAAAAACAGGGCTACTATGTATATAACAGATGAAAACACAAGCGAAGCCTCCGTAGATATATCATTTAACGGAGGAATACCATAAACACAAAATGAAATGGAACGTGATTTAATATAGTGACCTCTTCCAAGACCTTTTTTACGTTTATTTATATATATATCAAATATTAAATACATTTTTATAGGAAGAATTTCTTCATTAAATATCGAATTTTAAACCACAATTGGTTTAGGTTTCTAGTTTTGCTAAGAGCGACATCGTTTTGCAAATTTGAAAGCTCAATAGATAAAAGGCGTGCACTATACCTTAATGATAGTATAGTAACTAGTCGTTGCTAGTGTTTTAAACATTATCAAAAACTGGGCACATTTCAACAGTTCTTCCAAGTAACAGACTACATATGGGTATGTATTTGAAGTACATAGTTCGAATAGTTCTGGTTCTGTATTTAGTTCATCGTCTACGATGCTTATAAGATCTCTGTCTGAATAGCTGAAATTTATCTGAACCGAACTGAAATTGTTTGTATCAGTAAATAAAACTGCGTAAACTCAGTACCCGTGTATTACTAAAAATAATAAGGTTAACATAAAATAATATATAATCTAAATGAATTTTTAAAAAATAGAAGTAAAAAATAATTGCCAAAACAAACTGTCAATGCACCTTTTTGTGTCCAAATAATAAATAAATATATGTAACAGCACTATAAAATAAGTTCCCGAAATGCCCACACCCTTAGGATATTGCTTATTTTATTTCGTGAATAATATCAATTGAATTTATCAATTCATAAATTCTGAATTTAATAAATGTTCATTTAAATATAACAAGTTTTCTTTACAATAATAAAAATATAATAATAAAAACAATAGTACTTCATACCTTGAGGCGTTCAATAATATTTCATAAAACAAAAGCACATATAAATTTCATTTATTATATTTTATATATACCATATATTATGTGTAAAATGATTTGTAAAGCGTATATCTCAAAACTCCACCAACAAATAAAACATTCGATATTTATTAGGATATATCGCGACATATACTCGGGAATTAGTTGGTAAGGCCAGTGGTTACGGGGATAGGAGGTTAGCAATTTGGTCGTAGAGAAGAGGCAATCGTAAAGTAGTCCGTCGGAGAGGTAGTGAAGTTGTGGTCATATTTAGTTTAATTAATTTATTTGTATATTGTATCTTCATATATATTTTATCATAATTTTTACTTTATCAATAAATGAAATAATATATCTTACATATATAAATATGTATATATATATATATACAAAATGTATGCAAAATGGAAATTTAACAGTGCATTTATCATTTGTATATATATACATATGTTTTCTTCAACGCAATATGGCCAACAAATGCCATTAGTTTAAGTAACCAATTTAAAAATCATCACTATCAAATCTAAATATTGGGAAGATTATAATTTTGTGAAACTGTTTCGTTGCCTACTTTTAGGCAAACGTTGCCTAAAAGTAGGCAAGATCGCATTTTGGCTTATTTCAATTAATGTGATTTTGAAGTGAAGGAAATGACAACTAAAATTATAATTGGAAATGATTAGATTCCAAAAAAAAATCAAGTTTCACATTTGGTCGGACTCGATTCGATTCCTGGTACTTGCAGTCTCAATAATAATTATTTACTAATGTTTAATTACAACAAATAATTCCAAAACCACTGATGTTGTGAATTTGGCAATACTCGAAACAGTTGTATGGTCAGCCAAAAATTTAAATAATTAAGAACTGTCTGTTGTTGTAGTTCACTACTTATCTGAAACCTCTCTATCAAATACAATAAATAGTTTCTATTAAGTAAAATAGTCACTACTATTATAACTGACGTTTTTTACTATAATAGGTGGCTCACAAATAGAGTAGAGATAATAGCGCAGATTGGACCTATAAATGCCGTAAATATAGTGGAAAAGATGAAAGCGAACCCAGAGAGTTGGCGAACGATAGAGTCATATGTGGATCAAGTTCTCAAAACCAAGAAATTAGATCTAGAAAGGAGAACTAGAAACTAGAACAAGAAGTATAATAAAAATGCGATGAAAAGTGGTGGTTTGGACGCAGATCGAAAATCAAGAGAGCGTGGCTTGAAATGCCAACATAAAAGAGACCATTGAAGTAATGCGAAAGCGGTTCCGAGGGGGTATTTTAGTCCGTATACTACATAGTAATGTTAGTGAGTAGGGCACACCACTCCGACGACGGTCGGTTTGACGGTGCATAAAGCATTCCAACTCCTCACCACAAAAAAAAAAAAATATTTCTGACGTTAAATTACAATTTATAGAAAAATATTTTGATATCTTAAAATAAAAACATTTTAAATAAAACACTTTGTTTTGTTTTTTATTTTGCTTAAATCATAAAATAGTTTACATAGTTTGAAAATGAAAGATAATAAAATATATACATATATTCTGTATATATTTGTATTTGTTTGTAATATGTTCATATAATGGTTTGTTTATAATAATAATGTTTTCTTTTTTAATATATTTATATATAATTATTTAAATATTAAATTCGAAGACTTCGCTTTGATATTTTGTTTTCTTTATTTGAGTGCTGTGAGAGTTTTAAAATCTTTCTTAATTATTCTTATTATTGTTAAATTAAATATTTTTAGTTGATATATCTACTTAATATTTACTTACTAATCATCAATTCATATAATGAAACAAATTTGAATAGAATTTTTAGTTGACATGGTACAACTACAAAATTTCATTGGCTTTTCCTTGGCGTTTCTCTATAAATTTTCGACAGTAAATAATATAATTTTTAAAAAATCAAGCTTTTTTCAAGATTTTTATAAATCAAGCAATAAAACAAAAAAAAAAAAAACAAATAATTTTAGCGCATAATTTCCAATTTTAAAATCTTTGGGATAAAAATTATACATAAAATTTTTAATATAAACAAAGCATGATTTCTGCATAAGTAAAAAATAATTATTCTTTAGCTTCAAAAGTTTCGGTTACATCGACACAATTTTAATAAATAATATATAGTATTTGTCATCTCGTTAATAAAAAGTATCTAACCTCACTTCACTGCGCTACTTTCATATACTGTATATGTATTTTAATAATTTATTTAGTGGTATATTTTATTTATTTTTAATATATATTTTTACTATAATTATTTGATCGTGAATTAGTTCCACTTAATTAATATACATACATACAACATACATATAGTGTTATTTTATGTAAAAATAATAAGTTTATATATTTTGTTATATGTAGAAATTTAGTTTAATTTTTTTACTCTTAATTGGCAATAAAAATTACATATCTGGTCTATAAAATGACAGTTTATGTATAAAATGTGGGAAAAGTTACTAACATTGTTCTTTGTTACTATTTAATTGCTTATAGTATACAGGGTCATTATATGCAACCAATACATGAGCTTATTTATTGTATTCATAGTGTGTGTGACAGACATAGTTTTTTATTTTACTTATATTTAAATACGATAAAAGTTTTATTTTGTTTTTAATTTTTTACTTATTAACAGCAATAAATCGAAAAGAACGATTAAAATATTCACTATTAATTAAATAATTTTGTTATGTTCGTAGAAAAAATTCAATTTATATTAGTTATGTTCACCACAGCTATATTATTGTTTATATATTTGGTACTTATAAATAAGATATTTTAATTAATTAATGATATATTTTGAGGTGAGTACTCTTGAGAAGTGAGACTTTCTTAGTTATAGTTACTTATAGATACTACTTATAGATATTTGATAATGCAGATATTTATATTCATTACACAAATGTATTTATGTCGCATAAAATAAAGACATAGACATTTTCCTTTAACTTTACTTTTAACTAACTACACGCGTTCCCTCTGTCAGTTTCAATACCTGAAGAACTGTAGATTACTTCTACACCATAATATGGTGAAAAATAATATAACTATTCTTGCCTTTTCAACTCACAAAAAATAACATGCACGTCACTTATCTAAGAACTAGACTATACAAAATCTAATAAGATTACGTAAATTCTGTTTTTTTTGGAGTCCACTCAATTCAGTACGAAAATAAATCACAATCCCGTATTTACACTACAACATTGTGCTTAAATTCTTTACTTAAGTTCTAATAGATTTAATAATTTTCTTAGTATCTATATATCTAAAAAAAAAAAGGAAAAAACAAAAAAAAATTAAAGCTATATTGTGCTTTGTTCAAGTGTGCCACAACAATTGCTCTATTCACCACAGCGCAATTTATGTAACCTTTATACATATACACCATACTATATTATAAATGATTTAAGGAATCTAAATATATATATATTGTTAGAACACACATTTATTATGTAAATATTAAAAGAGTCTCACTTCTATAACAAAAATAAATATTAATAAGAAAAAACGAAAGAGAGGAAAGTTCATCACCTCAAATTACAAAGTTATATTCAACACAGCTACATAAAATCACCACACGCTGATTTCATACTTCAACGCACATTCAAATATACTCTCCTATACTCCCCTAAACTCCCCCTTACTTCCACTTCTAGCTCCAAAAATCCACCATATTGACTAGTTTGCATTTTTTGAGCTCGAGTTTTGTGGGTCGGGCGCGAAGTCAAGCACGTCCAAAAATTGCTGACACATCACCAGTGGACTGTGAGTGTGACATATTATTATTATTACTATTATTGTTACTATTACTGTTACTGTTATTGTTATTGTTATGCTGCAAGGTATTGCCAATACTAACGCCGCTAGCCATGCCGCTGTGATGACTGCCGCTGTGGTGCGAGTGCGATAGGGTAGTGGCGCCATATTTACTGGCTGTATTGCCGATATTGCCACTAGTAATCAAATGCTTACGTGTGGATGATTGTGCGTGGCCATGTGCAGTTGTACCACTGACACCACTGGCACCATTGGAGCCATCTGCGCCATACATGCGATGTAAAGAATATTGTGGCACCGATTCGAGATCAGAAACAGACGAAGCAATCTTGGAACGTACAGCTACCTTCTGCATGCTATTATATTTGTCACTTGCACTCAGTTTAATATCAGGCAAATGGCTAGATGACTGCATCATCATATGCATACCGTTATTTGGATGAGAATTTTTCGTTGTACGTTGTCCTTGCTTTGTGGTATTTGTAATAGCTGCATTACTTATAACTGTAGTATTAGTTATAGATGCAACCAATGGGCCATTACCATTATTGGGAACACTGCTATTCTCTACTGGTGGTGATATTTCAGCAAAATTATAGCAAGAAGACTTTTGTGACGAGCTACTGAGACCTCCAGTCGACGAAGATGTGCTCATACGGCAGTTACGATGGCGACTCGAAGAAGATGGCTGCAAAAATTCATGATGTGCTGCTTCCTCAGGTGTCATACGTTCCGCTGGATCCCATTCCAAGCAACGATGTAAGAAATTAATGAAGAAACGATCATTGCAGAGTAAAATCTGTGACAATGTTTTGGTGCCTGGTGAACGTTTACGTCCCTTAGTGTTGGTGATGCAACGTGGGGTCCCGCGTGAATCAAAGAACAAACGACGGCGTGTAGCTGATGCAACAACATCGCGCGGTGGTAGACCGAGCACTTCCATGATACAAGCCAATTGTTCGACCTCATCTTCACCCGGGAATAATGGAAAACCAGTGTATAGTTCAGCCAGTATGCAACCTAAAATGAAATCGAAAAACAGAGAGAATATGTAGTGATATGCATATGGACAATGTAAATAAATTGTTGACTATAAAAAATAAAAACAAATAAGCTTTCGCTATTTAGAGGGTTGATTATTCTGCAGAAGAGCAAAATATTGATTAAATCAATTGATAAATAACTTTTTGCTTCATTGCCCTTGATAATTGCGTTTAATGGACTACATGAACTGACCATAAGAATAGGCTGTAATACTCTAAATTGTCCTTGACTTTGACTGCAGTCAATATCAAGTAAATAACAGTCAAACTGCGGTTCACATAAACAAAATATAAAATGCTCACTGCACAGGACAATGCACACAAAGAGCTGCCCAAGGACTATAAATTTCAAACTTCCATGCTTTGACATGCATTCAGGGATAATCAAATGAAGAGAAACGTTCACGTTCAGCGTCGAGGGCTTGGTAAATTTGTTTACGCTTCGGTTTGAATATGACATGACCAAATTAACGAGCACTGATTGCAGTTAATTGTTTTCAAACGAATTGAAATATTTGGCTCGCAGCGGTGTTTCAATAAGATTTTCTTCAGTTGCTAAAGTAATTTGTTTAAATTTCCGCTGCAGAAGAATTTCCTGTTAGTGGAGATATACACCCTCAAGCAGATTTGGCAGCTCGGTTAGAAAAAAAAATAAAATAAATTATGTTAAAATGTTGAACTTTTGATAATTTTCAATGAAAATTGGTTTCATAAAAAATAAAAATATATTTTTTAAAAATTTTTTGATATGATAAATTGTAAATCATACAAATTGAATAAATTCTATATAATAATAATGGTTTAAAAACGGAATCATGCAGTTTTAAATAAAGTTTTATTTCTATTAAATACAAATGCTGAGGGACGAGAGCACGTTTTTAAATATTTAAAATACATTTTTAATATTATATATTTTATTTTAAAATCTGAAGAGTCGTTGAGCCCTGCTTCATTCATATAAAATCACAAAGAAAGATTCTTTACTAAATAATGCAACTATTATCATTTTATGGCACCATCCGTTGTAAACACATTTATTGTTTTTATATATTAAGATCGGTGCAAATATATTGGAAGAAAAACCTTTTCTTTATATGAATACTTATAATTACAACATTAATTTGTATAGGAGTAACAACTAAATTTAGATAACAGAGTCAACATATATTCGTAATACTTTTATAAAAGCAATTGCTATGTAGTCGACTAATTTCACTATTCGCAGTTCCAGGCAGTTCAGTAAAAATCCATGCTAAACCGAACTGATGGTGGAAAGACCAGATAAACCAGGTTTTGAACCTAATCAATGTTTTACAGTGTCGAACCAATGAACCGAACATAATATGATTAAATAAAAAGATATAATATCCAGATCAAGTGAAATATACGAGATATTACAATATATATATATACAGAAGACCAGAGTTATTTCACATGATTACCTGCCGTGAAGGCTCAACACCACGGTGCTCTTAAAACATGTATTGGTATATTGCGCCGATAAACGCCCCATTGGACATCTGAGGAATTCCGCCGGTATCAATTAAAATTATAAATTTGAATTCAGGAATAGTTTCCCTCCTGACAAGAAGACAATAGATATACAGTAAACAGTGTTGTTTAACGCTGGTACCTGTCATGAAGGCTCTACAAATACATGTATCAAGATAATGCGCCGATAAACACACCAAGTTACATGTTTTGAATATAACTTCCTCCTAGGTAAGGAGTAAGACCTACAATATTTCTTCTGATCTTCAGGTCTCAGCACCCGGTGGTGAATACGCAATTCCACGCTGAATGAATGATATAAAAATACCGATCATTCCTCCCACGAAAGTTTGGTTTTCCACCAGAGCCACTAAGACTCTGCCAACCATCGGCATAGCGCCGGGATTTTAGTCGCCTTTTACGACAGGCAAGCCTACCTCGGAAATATTCTAATTCCTTACCCGCAGGGGCAACAATAGATATACAGTAGAGCTCTGCTTATCCGATTCCAATAAAATTAAGATCAATTCGAATTACTGAGACATTCACCTTGCGATAGTCATATTGAAAAGCCAGGGCCAGGGAGAGTCTAATATATGTTTATATATTTATTTGAACAACAATAACTAAATAAAGCTTAAGGCACTGCGTATTTAATTAATCAATTACATTAAGTTACACACCCACATGATAAATGGTAAAGGCAAACAAAGCGTATAGGTGAGTAAAAATTACATATGTGTAAGCATATAAACAATAAATTTTCATAACATATGATCTGGATAAGGAAATCATTGATCTAACCAGACTTTACACATTGTGCATTTTCCAACTCTGTCCTAATTCCGAATTACTGAACATTTGGCCTACCAAAGATCTACTGTATATAGATACATCATATATATACGTATATATTTAAAAATTGTATATCGTTTTTTGATTTCGGTTCTTATAGGTGTTGAGTTAAAGACCATAAACGTTCATTTGAAATTGTATTTGGCCAGAATATTTTAACAATTTTGCGTAATGACTGATTTACAAGAACTTGTAGTGCATTGATGCCGTTTTCGGTAGTATTCCAAGATTGACATCCATACACGAGGCAAGATTTTATGTTGAAGTTAAATATTCGTATTTTAGTCCGGTGCGATAGCTGAAATGATATTCAGACTTTATTTAAGCGACCAAACGTTTGTTTTGACTTCTTGGTACGATTCTCAATGTCAGCACTGGATCCACCATTTGTTGATATGATGCTTCTCTACATCCTCAAGACAGTAGTTGTTTATAATAGAAGGATTTAATGTGTTTTAACTAATACAAAAAAAAATTTAGTGGGTTATTTTTATATAAAAAAACCCAATTATGGAAAAGTAAAAACTTTGTTAATATTATATCTTCATATTTTTCATATCTGATTCCTGATTTTTAGAAATATTTTATATACTAAAATAAGAAAATTTTTGCTTTGTAATAGACCATATTTTTTATGTGCATTTTTATATTATCAATTCCGGATACTTTGTACACTGAATGTATTGAAAAGGCGAAAAGAACACATGCAAACAGCATAATGGATGAATAGAACTACGGTTAAACTTAATATAAGTTAATTTCATATCACTTTAATTTCAGTAAATTGCATATTATTGACTTTTTATTGGATATTTATAGACTAATAATATTTGCCTTAAAATTTAAAAGTATAGTGATTCTCGAGCTAGAAAGGATCTATTATTATCAAAATAAATCATAGTAAGAGACATATAAGTTTAAGAAGTATAGTTTTAAATTCTTATTAACAAATGTGAAACGGAAGTTTTCTATCATAATCATTATTTCCATATATATTATGACGTGTTGCTTATAAATTTTATTTGCTATGTAAATAAAATAAGCAATATATTCTTGTGGGTTGAAGTGAAGTAAGACATTAAATCCTAACTTTTCATTTAATATAAACAGGCACGCACTTTAACAACTAAGGACCTTACAACTGCCAGGTACAAATTAATATACATGGTAAAATGGACATAAAGACACGACAATTAGACACGAAGTAGATATTCACAGTAGTTCACAGACCTACTGACATAAACAAAAGGATAATACATACATATAAAGTAACGCAACAGGTCGTCTAAAAGTATTTCAAAGCACGTATAATAAAAAGTGAAAATAAAAATGTGTTGTTTACAGAGTGTGTAGGAAAATTCCAAAGCATTTGTTCCATTATCGTTTTTTCAGCGCCCACATCCGTTCCATGACTACAACTACATCCGGTCGGTCAAATACTCAATAGCACAACCCTTGAAGGAAAATCATTTAAGCGCACATTTAAGCCACAATCTCCACTTTTAGGGGATAAAAAGTTGATTTCTCAGTTATGGATTATAAAAGTTGAAGGTGTATGTAACCAAATAAAGTAAAAAAAATAAAATGATGGAACACAGCACACAGAGCACAGAGCACAGAATAAAATAAACAGATTAAACAAAATAAAAAATTTTTTAAATAACAAGTTTTCACTCAAATTCAACACTTAGAGTGCAAGATTCTTGTGGCATTTTTGAGATGAACTTAGTAAATACTGAATAGAATAGAAAACTGATAATGAAAAAGTTCCATAATAACAAAAAAAAATCAATAGTTTTTTTTTTTTAAGTAAAGGATATAAAAAAAATATATTAACCTTCTGTGTGTGTGTGTGTAAAAAAATGCTTAGAGTACATACCAATTTAATTATTCAATCAGTTATGCAAATTACGTTTATATATTAGAAGAGTTTTCCTTTTACAATCTTTATCTATTAAAATCCTTTCAACCTTTTGCAAATTAATTTTAGAAATCATTTTCAACGTTCATTAATAATTATAACTCAGCGAAGCCAAATATATTCAGGAATTTTTTTATACAATTTGCAAGAGGAATATGTTCTATGAGTATAAGTTTCTGCTGTATTGACGGTACTATCCTTTTCCCATTCCTTCAGATTGAAAGTGTGCAAAAAGCGTACATTATTATTAAAAAACTTAATAAAATACCAAAGCTTTTAATCTTCAGAAATTTCACATTTCACAAAGAAAAGGTCTCAATGCTGTGAATTGCGATTGAAATGGAATGGTAAGATGACGTTAAATGTCAGGGTTATCATCATTAATCTTGCTTCAGATTCCATACAAGCAAAGTAAGAAAATGTAGGAGGATGGATGGTATGTATGTATTAAAGAGGATAATACGGAAATAAAAGTGGACGACAACTGAGATGTAGTGGAGTACTGGAGTAGTTGAGTAGATTTATCAGTGATTTGAAAAGGATGCGAAATGTAAGTATCTGCAGAATATTTCGCAGTCATGTTTATTATTTGTCTTAATTAGTAATATCGGATTATTAACTCTTTATATAAAGCAGAAAAACAGGAAAAAAGTATATAAAAATATGAAATGAAAATAATTGAAAGGTTTTTTCTGTTTTTGCCTTTGAAG